TTGGAAGGGACCTTAAAGCTCATCCAGTCCCAACCCCCCTGCCATCAGCAGGGACACCTTCCACTAGACCAGGTTGCTCAAAGCCTCATCCAGCCTGGCCTTGAACACTTCCAGGGAGGAGCAGCCACAGCTTCTTTGGGCAACCTGGGCCAGGGTCTCACCACCTCACAGGAAAGAATTTCTTCCTCACATCTCATCTCAATCTCCCCTCTTCCACTGTGAAGCCATCACCCCTTGTTCTATCACTACCTGTCCTTGTCAAAAGTCCCTCCCCAGCTTTCTTGTAGGCCCTTCAGGTACTGGGAGGCCGCTATAAGGTCTCCCTGGAGCCTTCTCTTCTCCAGGCTGAACAGCCCCAACTCTCTCAGCCTGTCCTCACAGCAGAGCTGCTCCTCAACCATCAACTCATCCCCTCCATAACTACTAAACCATACATAGCCCAGGGCAGATACAGGCTGCCGCTGCAAAGCTTTAGCTGGAAAAGAGAATTACAGATCAATACATGAAAATACCTGACTCATTATTACTTTTCAGAAGAGTGAATAATCTGTCCACTGCTCCAAAAACAGATGGGCATGACGGGTTTGCTATGGAAAGGAACTGCTGCCTTGACCCACTGCACCAGGAGAGGAGAACAAGGTCGACAGGACATAGGTCCATCTGCAAGGATGACCTCGACCCCTTTGAGGCCTCTGGGCTGGACTGGCCATGTGCAGTGGGTCACAGAGGGCTCACCCTGTTGGAGTCAACTCTGCACTCTTCCTGTTCCAAACACAGCACTTAAAAATAATTCTAGTACTTTAAAAAACCAAACAAACAAACAAACAAAACCAAACCACCACGATTTTCTGTATATTGTGAGTGTTCATTTTATGTATCTTTAAATGCTTATAGAAAATGTCTAGAAAATCCAAGAATATTTAACCTTAAATTTTACCCAAAAATACTCCAAATACTAACAAAGGCTCTCTTTACATCAACATTTTAAAATCCAGGAACGATTCCATAATTTAGAAAACCAAGGGTTACTTATAATTGCTGCAAGTAAAACAAGAAATGCCAAGGAGAGGCCTTTAGCGAGGCACTGGGAATATGGTTCTCCTGGAGGAAAAAAAAGAGAAAAAAGAAAAGAAAAGAAGAAAAGTATAAGCATGAAAGCTAAATTTTAGTTTGGACAACAACCCAATAGATACAGGTTAAAGTATATGCATAACCTGAGTAAAATAATGGAGCACAACACAAGGAATTAAGATGCTTCACACTTATAAAACTCCATACTTTGTATAACTTTAGTCCCTGAAGTTGTGCTGGTAATAAACACAGGCAGTTACCTCTGTCCACGCAGCTCTCAGAACAGAATCCAAGTGCCTTCATGCTCTTTGAAATGCCAGACACGTTATCTACAGTCTCCCACAAACAATCCACCACAGTTTTACACAGAGGAAATTTAAAAATTAACTCTCTTACCAATATGGCAAGTTTTTACCAGAACTCATGGGTGGACTGAAAAACATACACTGGCAAAGTGAGAAACCAAGTCTCCCTCCACCCTTCGAGGGCAATGACACTGACAACGCTACAGTCACAGTACGAAGTGGCAACCCAACAGTGTGACAAAGCGATATATTCTCCCTTCCCTTAGGAGCACACCTCCCCCCCAACCCTGCAGGGGAATTAAAAATAACCTCTGCCAAACAGATACTCACAAAATTTCAAGCTTGTCCAGAAAGTATTCCTAGTAATTATTTTTTTCCACTAGTCTAACTAAGAAATCAATGCATTAAGGGAAAAAATTAAACAGATTTTTTGGACCGTGCTTTCTAAAAGAGAAATTTTAATTTTAATTCCCTACTATAAAGCATTCTTTCAGACTGAACCCCACACATCTAATTACGTTTCAAATAAATATGGCCAGTTCATGCTATTCCACATTGCTTATTATTTTTACCTGTGTAAAACCGTGTCAATGGATAAAAAAGTTGTGGCCAGCACACATCATTTCGATTGCAGTCAAATTCTATATCATTTATCTCAAATCTAGAGAAAAAAAAACAACAACAACAACCAAACAAACAGAAAAAAACAAAACAGGTTTATTAACTACAGGACCAGAACACCAGCACAAGTGGAAAAACAGAGTGAAAAGGTGTCCAGATTACAGGAAAAAACAAAACTAAACCCACAAGCTTCTCATTATTCTCTTATGACTTTTCCTTTAATAAAAACAGGGGCCTCCCCTCTACTCCATTTCTGTCCTTTTTAGTCATTTTGTAATTAATATTTTCAGACAATAGATAGTTTGGGAGCCTCACTCAGCACTCCTTATCCACTCAAGTAAACAACATAGAAGCTTTTCTGCTAAAACTAAATGATAATGTTGCAGGGTAATTTGCAGCCCTTCATGTTCTTCGTGCTCTTGGGAAAGATGGTCACTAGCAGAACTGTTACTCAAGAGATCTTTGAACCAGGCTTTATTGCTCTGTACTCCACCAAACCAAAGAAACTCTTTTATCAATGCTATTCACATTACATCTGCTTAATACAATGTGAACTATCAATGTTTTTACAAAAGTTACCTTGTCATTGGAACGGGGGGTTGAGCTGGCACTTTAATAAACTGCACAGAAGCTGTGATGGGAAGAAAGCTGATACTGTTTTCACAGATAAGCCCACACTGGAATTGCCATATGACTGTTGAGTAACTGTAAGAATATGCATAATAACTTTTACTTGAGGGCAATTTAGAGCCTAAACATAACCATGAAAGGACAAAATAAACAGTATTTAGGAGGCAGTTGATGATCTCTGGATTTGCAACACAGACAGGGAGAGAACATGCAAAGTCAGGAAATGAGGTAAAATAGAACAGAATCCCATTTATTGATTGGGATTGACTTGGGGGTGGGTGGGGAACAAAAAAAGTGTTTGCAAAGTGAAAATGCCCTGTTTCAGGAAAGAACAAAGCATTTACGACAGCTCTCAAGAAGAGCTCTACATTGGGGTACGCCAGAACACGGGATAATGTTGTCAATTCCACCATGTGACAAGAAATTAAAACATTCTTCTGATGGAATGCCCTGCATATGCCTACTACTGGCAGCATCACAGATTTTATTTAATATTTCAGTAAAGCAGAAAGATTATCTACTTTTAACTGTTTAATTTTTCAATTTTAATTTTAGAGCGAGAAAAGCAAATCTGGTTGCAATCAAAGGAATTTGGGTTGCAGAAATAAAAGGCATGTAAAAATTAGAAATAACAAAGTAACATTTTTGTTTGTAAAATTTAATCTGTACATGTCAGGTAAGGAAGTTTCAAAATGAAACATTTATTTGTCAGAGAGCCAGAAACACAACATTCTCTACCTGATCTGCACAGCGAGAATCTCTTGCTGGGGAATCCCTCGTACTGCACCCACATCAGCAAAGATTATGCGAATATTCAGATTTGCAGGAATATCTGGACAAATGCCTTTTAAGTTTCCAGTGCTCACATTGGTATCAGAATTAAATGGATCAAGACCTATGGAGAAGACAGGAGTTATTTAAATTGACCTATTATCGAAAACATTCTATTTTTCCATAATTATATTATTGTCATAGTCCAGTGAAATACTGCTGTCACACAGGAACAGAGCAAAAAAAAATACACATAAAGAAAAGGAGTGCTTTATCAACAGAGAACTAAAATACAAAGTCATATGGGTGCAGGCAGACAGTAAACACATGTTAGTGCAGTCTACACATACACATGGAGTTACACGTGTGTGTGTACACAGATATGGATGGATGGAGCCAGACACATAGATCAGTATCTTCAAGCATTTGAAATTAGATTTTGGTTTTGTTTTGAGATGCTTTATTCATCATATGGGCATATTTAGACTCTAAACAACACCACAAACATCACTTACGTATAATTTCCACCCAGGCATTTGCATCACTGTAATTTGAATTGCGCCTCTTTCCAACGTGAGTAGCTTGTGTTAATGAATTTAATTTCTCAGTTACATTTCCTCTGCAAAATAAGAATGTAAGTTACACAAAAAGTAAATCTGTACTGCCTACCAGTCTGGGTTGCAATATTATTATATCATAAGGTCAGTTTCCTCTGAAAGATGTTATTACTCAACAAAAACAAACTTGATCTATCAATTTATCTGTTGAAGGAAAGAAATGGCAATGCATTCCACCCCAGCATAATCCTCATTTGAATACAAAGAGATCCAAGTGAAACCATTATTATAATCTCCCTTTAAAAAAAAAAATGAGACAATTAACCACAGATAGCTGAAATGCATACACAAACATTTGAAAAGAACATAACAGGGCTGATAGCAGCCACTTGTAAAGAATCATGTCATAAGCAACAAGAAGGATGCAGGAAAAACAATTCAACCTATGTAGCTCACCTTAAAAAGCTGCAATCTTCATTAACATCAACTTCCAGAATGCACCCAGAGAGTGAATCGACTCCAAATAAAACTGGTGTATAAGTTGCTGACGTACATAAACCTCTGCCAGCTATGAAATTAAAACATCTTACGTGAGCTTTCCTGTACGAAACTTTCGATCTCTAGCTTTCAAATTTGTGCAAAAACATGGAATATTAGAATGCAAAACACCGAGTGGTATAGTTCAAATACATATACAAGTCCATTCAAACTTCAGTTTTCCAAGAAAGCATTAGAGGCTTATTCACTGAAGTTTGAACAAAGGCTAAGGAATAGTCTGGAATAGCAAAATCTGGAAGAGATTCTTAACTAAAATACAATTGAAAAAAAAAGACAAGAAAACAAAAAAAACAGCATTTTAGCATTAACAGTTGAAGCTGCAACCTCACAAGTCAGTACCTGTCTGCCAAATGTTCAGGCTTCCAAAAGTATCAGAAGCATTCATATTTGCAGCTCTCACTGGTTTTCCAACTTGATAACCTAAACAGAGAAGGGCAAATCACGAACATTGGGTAAGAATCTTTAAGCATTAGCATTGTTTTAATAATAAATGTCATCAATCTTGAAGGAAATGAAGAGACATTTCCATTACAGTAGGAATACACTCACTTCAAATAATCAATATCTATACAACAAAAGCCTAAGAACCAATCCTTGCTATGACAACTGGCAGTGCATCAAGACAGGAAGGTGGGGGCTGGCAACATAAAGTAGTACAAAAGAGATATAAAACATAGACCCTGACAATAATCTGTACAGTACAAATGTTTTTTCTTTTCACTTTTAAGAAGCAAAATAAAGTATTAATACCTGGATTCCCAAACAGTTCTGCTGCACTAGTACTCTCTAAACTTAGAAATTTGACTGTGAATCTCTGTGACAGTATTTCTGGTAAAAGAAAAAAAAAACAACAAACAAACAAACAACTTACTTTTAAATAAGTAAATTGGCAAAAAGTATGCTCTATGTAGGATACAAACTTCCATCCTTCATTAGTAACAGAAGATCCAAAATAATACAAATTAATGGAAATCAGATCCATAAATTTTCTTTCCGTAGTCCAGGGGAAATTATTTTTAAGAAGTATTAGTAATTAAGAGATTATATCACAGAATTTCCATGCTGAAGAAAAAAATTAAATAAAAAATCATAAAAGAAATGTCATGATACCTCCATCACATAAACTTCCGAGAAAGACCGTGACATTTATTTGCTCTATGTTCTTGTCTTTCCAAATGAATGTATAATTCTCTGCAAAAGTTACATTTTGACACAGAACCTCAGCAGGATGAAGGCTTTCTGGCAGAAGAAAAAAAAAAAAAGCCATCATAAAACACTATTAACTAGAAAGCTGTTACTGTAGCTGAAAAAGGACACATTAAAAAACTGGCAAAATTCTGGAAATTAGAACAATCATCTTTTTAAGATTTTATTTTCCTGTTTAAGTCCCATCTCACTAGGGCAGTGCAACAGCACAATCCCCTGGCTTATCAATATTTTCACATCAGCGTTTCCAGGTCCTTTTGTAGCTAAACCCGTCCAGAAGAACCCAGCACTGGACTTTACATCACCAGCTGATGCACTTCTCTGGACTCAGGACCTCCTCTGCTTTCATCTCATCCCTCCCAGGGAGCCATCACTGCCCAGAAAAACACATTAGCTTGGATTCCATTAGTTTTGTGCTGCATTATCCTCCCACTGACTGGGAACCACCGTTCTACATCAAATAACTGCTTCACTGGCTGAAAAAGGCTGTTCAAAAGGCACAAGAGCTTACAAAACAAACACATAAACATCTGCTTACAGTCTGCCCATCCCACTTACATGTTCATCCTGGGGATTTTTAAAGGGTTCTTTATATCTTTGTTTATTTTTACTATTGCTTTTTTCTTCTCAAAAAATACTTTTAATGCAAGATAAGGGACCTGATTTCTTGACCAACTTGAAGTGAATTTGGGGTAAATGAAATACTTTCTGCTTTGCAGTAAGGCAAACAGTTTACTTTTTCAGTATTAGGCAACATACAACATCCCTCCTAAGAATTGTGGAAGGTAAACATATTAGGCATCAAAATAATCTATTTCTTAAATAGTCCAGGTTAGGTAAGAAACATATTTATTAAATGGAGGAGACATACCACTTTCAGTGATGAATTTGCCCGTGTCAATGATGGTCCTATAGATGACATTTTGTTGGATGAAGTCTTAGAATAAAAAAAATAAAAAATAAAAAACAAACACTGCAGTAATCCTGACTTATTTAATAAGAGAGACAGACCTACTGTTTTCAAATCCAAGGTGCAATCCTTTTTGTCATGAAAATGGAGTAGAAAATTATTTAGAAAATCAATTTTGGTAAAGGACCAAACCACTTATGTATTTTGAGAACATATCTAGTTATCTCTGGGTCTTACAAAGGTAATACAGACAAACAAAATTAGACAATTACTGAGCATAAAATAAATTATCTTCATGCTGGTAATCACATTATCTCAAACTCCAGAATGACACTTCATAAGCACATGCTTTTGTAATGCAGAAAGTAACCACTCCTCACTAATTCTGAAGGGAGGATACTGCACCCTCTTGACAGAAAAAGGGCTCTGCAACAGTCTGAAAGTGGGAGAAATGCTCCTCCAACATGTGTAGCCATAATCAGTATGAGTCACCAGAAACAGATAAATGGGAGACAAATGCCAATCCCACTACTTCTTATATCCTAAATCTTGGGAAATAGTGGGACACTTGCTGGAAGGTCATCAGAAACAGGAATAGAACATCCCCAAATGCTGAACTACCGCTACCAGATAACAACAGATATTACACGTAGCTACGACATCACCAGCCCTCTGGTTTGTTCTGTTCTAGCAGCTCTGAGAAACATAAAACACACTTCTGTCAGGCTTTATGCAGCATACCTCCAGTGCCACTGTGTATCCTCACATCATGGGGCAGTCCTTCCTCGTAAGATGCTAGATTGGTAAGGCATTTGACATCAAAGTTCTGGAGATACGCTACAGGAGCATTTCCAACACACTGTCCAGCCATGGATTGCTGCAGGTAGTTCAACAGAAATGAATGTGTTGGACCCTTTTCTTTCTTTTAATTTTAAGATTATTTTTTAGTGAAATGCTCCAAGTATGTACTACAGCCAATGACACTCTGATAAACAAGTAATGTGATGTTATCAAAATACCTCAATCCCTAGCAAGAGAGAGGTTAAAATTTAAAAAGGACAGCTTTCAAAATAGTTTCAGTGTACAGTATGGCTTCATCCTAACTTGTCAAAATAACCATAACCAACAAGTCTCTTTAAAATGCAAAAGGAATTTGAAAGTACAACCAGATGACTAAGATTCAAAGGGAAAACCAACTATAGTACTCAGTAATGCAGCAGGCAAACAAAAAATACAGAAATACAGAAATATGATAAGCTGTAAACAAATGGATGTCAAGTTTGCTTTTACCTCTTGAAATAATTAAGACATTACCATCTGGGGGGATGAGCAGGGGTGTCAGGAAGGATAATGTTTATTTTTCATAATATTTTGTGCTTTTTTTTATGTGTGTGTGTGAAAAATACATTCCACCACTTCACAACAGCAAGTTGCAGAATCTGGTTACAAAGCCATAAGGAGTGTGGTATATGGAGAATATCAAACAAACCAAGAGGAACCAAAAGCTCCTAAACATGAAGTGATTACCTGGGGAATAGTAAAATACTCATTTTCTTCTGTCATAATTGGATCTCCTTGTCTGTAACCAGTGAAAAGTTTCCCAGCAGAAGCTTGTAAAGGGATCTTAAATGGAGGAACGCTGGGGGTAGAACTACAAACAAGTTTAAAAATTAAACAATTCTTTGCTCTCTACTTCACACAAATAATTATACATTTGCTTTCATGTCCCATGTTCTCATATTGTATCAAAGACATTTCTCCATTTACAACTTAAAGTTCACACTCTAAGATTCCAATTTCAAAATAACTTTCATTAAAACAACAGGTTATATTTTTAGTAGCATGCTTAATATGTGTGTTGAGAAAATAAATTTTCTTAAGACTCACATAGAACCATGATAAAAGTAGCCAAGAAATGGTGTATTGTTAAGAGAAGACTGTACACAAAGAAAGGGAAACCAATCAGGGGTATAATATTCCATTGACTCAGAAGTGCACAGCTGATCAAAAGGTGGGTTTACATCCCCACCAAACACTCCAGTGAAACATGATTCATTGAATAACTGCTTCAAGTCTGGTGTACACTCCTGAAAGATAAAAGAATGGCCACTTTTTAGCACAGTAATTGCATTACCATTGGCACTACAGCCATAGGGAACAACCTGATCTAGTTGAAGATGTCCTTGCACATTGCAAAGGGGGTTGGATTGACGACCTTTAAAGGTCCCTTCCAACCCAAACTGTTCTATAATTCTATACTTACAGGGAAATCAAACCCATTTTGTAGAGAGAACCATATTTACTATTAGAAATACTGAAAAATCCAGACAAGCCCTCCAGCCCCATCTCACCTGAGTACCGCTCTCACTCTCTCTCCAGACAACAGAAAGAGCCTAGAAATTTTGAAACACTTAATCAAGGTTTAAGATGAAATAAGTACCAGATCACAGCAACAACGAACATCACAAGCTCCAGCTGTCAAGTCACAAGGACAAGAGCCCAATGGCTGAAACACCTGGTTTGGGATGACAGTTGCATTTTCTGTAAAAGAATTTAAGGGGAAAAAAAAAAAAAGATAAAATCAGATTAAATTAACTGGAATCCAAATAAATAGACCATGTGCATTGCAGTTTATTACGACAACGCATACACCTTTTGTTAAATTCCATTAAGGACTACTCAGCATCTCTTACTGCTGTTCAAACACCAATTTTTATTTTTTTCCATATATAGAGGGAAAGAACAGCTAAAAAAACATTTCTTCTTTAGCATATCTAAACACTTACCTGACACATTTCCTGTAAAGGAAGAGTTGGCATATATTTCAGCTTGAATCAGGAGATATGCCAACATCACTGAATCACGGCAAGCTAAAACCTGAAGTGTTTCAACCACGCAGAGAGGTGTTGTGCAGCAGTCAGTGGCATTGGGCAAACACAACTGCAGATTTCTAGTCAAGCTTATAGTCACTTTGGAAGTATTCTGAAAAAATGCAAAATAAAGTTTGACAGTTTTGACAGCTTGTATTAAATTATTCCTACTTATACCACTCATCATCTTCTGAAAGAGAAGTATCAGCACCACAGTGTTTTGTCAGCACTGCACTGCAATGACACTCTTCCTCTTCACAATGGGACATCTGGTGAGAGTGGAATAGCAAAGGCTTTGCTACTGAGATATGCAAATACAGTGAGGATATGAACTTTTTAAGGCAGAACTTTTTAAGGCATGCACACTGATTAAGTTACCTCAGAAATCACATGCAAAATTCTAAAGGAAAAAACAAATACTGCAAAGTGAATTTCCGTTTTTACAGTTCCATGTAAACATCAGGAAAAACTTTTTCTCTGTGAGAGTGACAGGACACTGGAACAGGCTGCCCAGAGAGGTTGTTGAGTCTCCTTCTCTGAAGACATTCAAAACCCACCCGGACATGTTCCTGTGTGACCTACTGTAGGTGATCCTGCTCTGGCTGGGGGGTTGGACTAGATGATCTTTCAAGGTCCCTTCCAATCTCTAACATTCTGTGATTCTGTGAAAATGGAATGACTGCAGAGCTGATAAAACCCCTAGGGAATTACATATGACACTGAAAGCAAGTCTAATAAATACAGATGTTCCAGAGCTCATGCTGTATAAAATCACTATTTTTTTATTTCTAATAGCCCCCTCCAGCAGATCTGAAACAGTCTCAAATGCTACAGCCAGCCAGGAAGTACAGGCAATCCTGGAGAGGAGGAGGACAGCAGTGTCAAAGCTGCGCCTCAGCAAACTCCAGCATGGGCACGTGGTATATGTCAAGGAAAAAAGGCAAGGCCAAGACATTCAGACTGGGTTGTCAGTACATTAACATTTTGCTAGTATTTCATTAACCCTTAATATATGACAGTTCAATCCTTCCCATTCTGAAGAATCAGCATCGTACGTACCATACCCGGCATTACATTCAAATTCCAATCACCAGCTCTTCTACTTCCACTGCAAGTTGCAAGTTGCAATTTTCCTATACCAAAATAAAATTTTTTTAAAGTATTCCATTGCCATTGAAAACAGACTAGAAAATTAGAAGTACATTTAAACTCCTCTTCTGCCTTCAAGTAGGCAAACCCTCAGGCCCAGCTGACAAGGAGTCAACAGAAGACTAAAGGCTTAATCAGCAGAAGTCTTCTCGAGTTCCTATTTCAGTAACAATTAAAGCACTAAATAAAGTGCATTAGTGTTTCTCCAGTAATTTAAGAAGCAGAAAAAATATTCAGAATTCAAACATATTTATTTACATGCTATTTGAAAAAAAAAAAATAAATAAAATAAAAATCAAAGTGTTCTTACCTGTCTCTTCATCTATGGAACTTAAAACTATAGAAAAATCGACTCCTGAAGAATTTCCGAGAAAAAATGAATTTACTCTGGGCCCTGACATATGGATAAATGAAGGCTGAAAGACTGAAAAAAAAAAAAGATAGAAAGAAAAAAACAAGTCTTAACACACACTGAAAAAGGTAACAACTGAAAAACATGTTTAGGTCTTACGCTTAAGTTAGATTCTTACCTTCCTATACTTTGTCACAAATAGCACAAAAATATCTCATGATGCCCAGCACAGGGTTGTATTTACATTGTCACAAAGTGCTAGAGCAGTGGGCTCACCACAGCTTCCTATACCACAGGTTTGTATTTGGCAAGATGCTCAGTAAACGTGCAGCAGCGTAACTAACACTAAGGCAGGAGACTGCGGCTCTCACTGGCCCCTGCAGACTCCACACAGGTCAGGCAACAACATATTTAGCGTTTCTTGCTGACTCCAGTTCACACTTTTTCATTTCTTGCAGCCACAGAGGGTATCAGGGATGTACCTCTACCTCTGACCCAGTCATCGCAGACCACTGCCCTCACCATGGGGACGTAGTTTCAAGTTCAGGGCTCCAAGTTGGGAGTTTCACTAGAATTTCCTTTACAGACTTTACCAACGTTTAAAGCCTCACAGAAGCAGCTCCGCCTTCCCCCTCCCAATCTCGCCCGGTGCGAGGCAGCAGCAGGGCCCTTCAGGGCCAGCATCCTCGGGCTGGGGGACACCCACCGCCCCCCGGCGTCCCT